TGACTGGCGGAACAGACGGGGAGGGAGCGGGTACAGCTGGCTCTGTCTCTAGATAGGCAGAGCCAGCTGTCAGTCACGCAGCTGGGCGGATCTCGGCATAATTGTCGGGATCCGCTTCAGCTGGGCGTCTCAGTGAACTGCGAGCAGCAGCTCGCGGTATACTGGGGCATCTCAGTATACCGCGATCTGCAGCTCGCGGTATATGGAGCCTAGGGTGACAGGAGGACGTTAGTTTGTGTCCTCCCCTTAACCTAAGGAGAACTATGGGGAAAAGCCTTAACCCCATAGTTCTCCTTTAACTAAGGGAAGGTTACTAGATCTCCTGGAACTAGGACATGTGACCAGGACATGCGACCATGCACATCTTAGGGCAGTGTGTCATGTCATTTTCTCCTGGGCACCTCAGCTGGCGAGAGCTCGCTGAGCATGCCGAGATGAACAACTTCAGCAGATTGGCTCGCGCGTATAAACCGACGGGCTGTGCCGTCTGGCCGGTTGTTAAGCACGAGCCGATTGGCTGAAGGTGCAGTCAATCATCTGACTGCACGCAAAGCTCCGTGCCGGATAGCTTTGCTTCGCTCTGCACGGCTTCGCATCCAGTGTGTCACGGCCTTTACACCACCAACCTGAACCGTTGATACAAGGCAGGATGGATCCATACTCTCATGTTGTTTACACCAAATTTTGACTCTACCATCTGAATGCCACAGCTGAAATCAAGACTTATCAGACCAGGCAACGTTTTTCCAATCTTTTACAGTATTGTCCAATTTTGGTGAGCCTGTGCAAATTGTAGCCTCTGTTTCCTGTTCTCAGCTGACAGGACTGGCACCCGGTGTGGTCTTCTGCTGCTGTAGCCCATCTGATTCAAGGTTCGACGTGTTGTGCGTTCAGAGATGGTATTCTGCGGGAGTCTGTTTAAATGGGCCCACTGCCAGTGACGTACTATGTATGTCACTGGTCGTGAAGGGGTTAAATATGCTTTGTTGCTAGCATTTGCAGTGTATAAACTAATGCTTGACACAGTTTTAGTGTGTTTACTACTTAAATTATGTGAAAAAAGATCCTTCAAAAAGTTCAACCAAACTGAAAATATATGCCAATAGATGTCATTTTTGAGAAATAAGTTGGAGAAAAAAAAAAAAAACTTTCATTACAGTGCAAGTCCAACATTGTCAACTCTCTGTTGAGGAAAATTGGGTAACACGTTGAAAGGCCAGTTACCGCCTACTGGTTACCATAAAAAGGCCCCTGCAAGTCTCTCAACGCACACCAGGGGTGCAGAATGGCAGCAGGTGAAAGAACATAGAGGGTCCGTATCTTATTATTCTGACACCAGTGGTGGGGTGGGGGGTCTTTTATTACTCCCACTGGCAAATTGCATACAGGAATCTTTTATTCCCACTGACCACCAATGCCAGGGCATATTTGTTTACAACTATATTTATTACTCCTACTGACCACTGATGCAGGAGCATTTTTTCTTTCCAACTGACCAAGGATACCGGGGCATTTATTAGCCTCTACGTAGCACTGGCTATTTTTTTTTTTTTTTATAAATCCAAGAGTGTCTGCTATAATTTAAATTTACTTAATTGCTTGTTCTACTAATTCTGCTTTCTCAGCTTCCATGGAAATGTTTGAAATATTGTGCTAAAACACAATGGAATGGAATTTATCAAAACTGGAGCAGTTGCCCATGGCAACCAATCAGCTTCTCTCTTCAGTTTGTTCAGTTAAGATTTAAAAATGAAACAGAGAAGCTGATTGGTTGCCATGCACAGCTGCTCCAGATTTTGTCTACGGTTTTGATATATTCCACTCAATGTCTCCTTACTTTCTCTGAATAGTCTCCTAAAAGAACTCCAAGTTTAACAAGCATTAACACAGGAATCTTATAGTGCAACAGGTCTAAAGGCTGAAACATTTAAAATATGGGTACTATCTCAAAACACACAAAACACTATTCAGCAGCATGGAAGCTAGTCACAAAAATATGTTTAGCAGAGGGTGGGGGCTGTGGATGTCGCTTGAAGATTTTGTAGCCCTGGGAAAGTGAACTCCAGGGGTCAAGCTAAGCAAGGGTGGGGTCCATGAGTCTACTTAAAGCGACACTAAACCCAGGAGTTAAATCTTAAAAAAACACATTCAACTATATTAAAGATTCACAAAAATATAGCTTCTGTATCACTCACCTGTAAATCCTTAAGGCTAGGTTCACACCATTTTCCAGACCAGATCTGGAACATAGTGCATTGCATTTTTGCTGCGTTTTTTTGTGTGTGTGTAAAATGGTTTTACAGATGCGTTTGAGTGCGTTCCATGCATTCTTGATGCGTTCCAGACCAGACAAAATAGGACAAGCAGTCTTTTTCTGGTCTGGTACAGACTGTGCTGCTGGGAACAGAGGCCAGAAATAGCATAGGGATACATTGGGATGCATTTTGGGTCCGGAAACAGTCTGGATGTGGTGTGAATGGGCCCTAAATCTCTGAATTGGTGCCAATACTGTCCGTTCTGGAGAGTGGCTACTTTTGTTCCCCATGGTCCCTGTAAGGAAGCCACCACTCCAAACTCACTCCCATGATGAACTATAATTTCATGTTTGATTTACTAATTTATATTATGGTTGTAGTCTATTATGGGAGCAAGCTTGGAGTGGGGGCTACTATACAACAACACACAGGGACCATGGGGAACAAAAGTAGCCCCCCTCCAGAAGGAAGGACCATGTCAGCACAAATCGGGGATGGTTTGAGGAACACAAATAAGCTACATTTTTGTTAATAGTTAATAATATTGAATGCATTTTAGGGGCTGTTCACACCGTCTCCAGACAGATTTATTTATTACAGGAATTTATATATTGCACATGCACATCAGTCCCTACCCTCAAGGAGCATACAATCCAAGGTAGGTTCTGAATGCATTTCCACATACGCGTTTATGCACATTTTAAATGCATGCTGGTTAAATCTTTTTTTTTTTTTTTTTATTGGGTTTTAGCATATTCTGGTGCGTTTACATGCGTTTCTGCATGTTACGTTTGCTGTACTTTCTCTTTTTTTAAGCTCTGGAACTAAATGCACTGCTGTGAACTAGCCTCATGGAAAACCGTTGGAATTACTGTGTACGAGTCGTTGGTGCTGATAAAAAAAACGCACCAGTCTGGAGATGGTATGAACAAGCCCTGGTTTAAGTCCCGAGTTTAGTGTCACTTTACTTCGTGTTGCAACTCTTCACACTCAAATGAAACATGAAGGCAGCAGCTTTAACCCATTCACGCACAGCTCGGACTGCAAAATACCCTTAAAAAGATCATAAATTATGGCTGAGCAACACCTAGTAAAGTAAACTGCATAAGTGATAAAAAGGTAACAGCCACATTACTGGTTTGGTTTTTTAGCCTAACAAAAAAAAAAAACACCAACCATACACAAGAAAAGTATTTACTATTTCAGTGTCTAAAGCTCTGTGTATTTTAGGTAAAGAATTCCAGAGCACTGGGATGTGGGGCAGAGGGAGCGAAGTAGCTTAGGAAATGAAAGCGTTAACACTGGGAATATTAGCATTTGTGGAGAAGATGCCAGGATGAACTGACTTCCGCATACATGGCGGCTAAGCAAGGGGTGGGAGGAAACCATCATTCACTGAGGCTGGGGGCACTGCACTCATGAAGAATACACAAGTGAAAGAGGCATTGCACAGTTATAAAAACAATCATATAGAAAGGAAGCCCTATCGGCCCTGCCACAAAACAACTGCAATAAGGCACTTAGGATGTGAGCCACCTTTAAGAACCACACAACAGCACAGTATACAGTCACCACTACAACACTGGCATTAAAAGAGAACAGCATTCAACAAATGACTCTTGACACAACGTATCAGAGCGTAATGAATAAATGCAATAATGTATTTCATTTCTGCTGTGATTATGCTGCAAATCACATGAATAACTTTCCTGAAATATTACCAGTTTAAGCTCCAACGCTGCAATATATTTAATGGACACATAGCCAATTGATTATTCATTATACTGTTGATTATTCAGTTATGAGCAAAATATTGAAAAATAAATGGAGGATTTGAACAGTAAAGACAGTTGTGTTTTGCTGGATCAACAGCCTTGCAGTTCCATTACAATATATAGAGATGATAGAGAGGGGGGGAGAGAGAAAGAGGAAGATGAACATAAATGATGCAGAGTCTACAGGTAACCATATACCAGCAGATCTTTTTTCCCCAGCAGGAAAATGACTACACACACACACACACTTGTATGTTAAGAAGAACGCTATTATACTTCGCCAACCTCCTACATTGATGGGCCTTGGCAAAACATGATTTGATTTAGGTGTGTGCGTAAATATTTTAGGTGTGTGTAATGAGGTTGCTAATCAGTTCTGAGCAATGCCCTTGACTTTGTGACAGACATGACATAATTAAAGGACAATTAAATTTCGACTTATAAACATCGTTATGAGAATTCATCTCAAATCTGTTCATGTAGAAAAAAAGAGAAGCAAGAAAAGTAGGTGTACTACAGGTATGTGCAGTGCTCTTGGGTGAGAGCTTTAGCACAAGGGTGAGTGCTTTGCTTTACTGTACATAATCACAGACACACACAGGTATACAACAATCAAGGTACACAAACTACAGAGCAGAGTATCACAACCATTATGGAATGGAGCACATACACATGCCTAACACATTCAGTTTTGTACATGCTCAGAACCATACAATTGGCCTAAAAAAGGGGGGGGGGGTATGTGTACTGAAAGCTACAAATGCTAAGCTGACGCTATAAATGAATGACATTAATGATTACATTGTACTGTCCACACCATATGTAATATCAAACATAACACTGTGCCCACTGAAATCTAAAATGCCGACATATTCAAGCAATACGAATGACATGTGTAACGAGTGCCCTTAGGTGATATGATTATTATAACGTGAATACATGACGGGTGGGCGGGTGAGTGGCAAATTACCTTGTCCAGGCAGTTGACTTTCTCAGTCGGGTAGACAACCTTGCCGCAGCGGGCACAGCTCGGGTTCATAATGACAGATAGAGAAGCTTTCTTTAGGCAAGGAGTGCTGACTGTGACAGTGTCTCCGACTCCACGTCTGACGCTCTCCTGTATGTATCTCGCAGACTAGCAACTCCCAATATCTTCTGGAGTCTCCGACAGTCTCTCCTCAGAGGTCTCTCTCTAACCGTCTCTTTGCCGCGCTGTCTGTGACAAACATAGGAAGGGCGGGGGCGCGAGAGCGTGCAAGGGAACAGGAGCGCGCCTCTGCACAGGGCGTTTCTTGTAACGGCCATTTGGGAGCGCGCACGTTGTGGGCATCATAGACCTGGGAGAGCTTATGTTACTACACCAATAACTTCTTTTTGCATACAGTGCAGGCATTGTATGTATATCTATTATTGTAAGAAGTACGGTATGAACATTGTAGTACACGTGCATGTTAGTGGGTTTTTTTATGTAAATTGTTGAAGGGGGGTATAGCTCAGTGGTAGAGCATTCGACTGCAGATCGAGAGGTCCCTGGTTCAAATCCGGGTGCCCCCTCACAGTTTTTTTTTTCCCCCCATTATTTGTAGTACTTTTTACATATAGCCTTGAAAGATTGTGTATTTGTATTAAGCATGTTTATTCATAAAAGCATCAGTTATCAAGGCCAATGTAACTAGATACTAATGTGTTCCTATGATTTTACTGCTAATTGGAGCTTCACCAAGGCTTTGTTCACACCGAAAGCATGTGCGTTCCAGAGCGGTAGCTGCTGGAACGCACCGCAATCGCTGAGAAACTTCCCCTTGCGTTTTGGGGCGGGAGGGGGTGTAGCGCTGCATTGTATTCAATGGCACCGCTTCCACACACACACCCGCCCACAGTGCGATCGGACACGTGGCAATACTTTGCCAGCGTTCCATTCCACTGCAAACGCAAAAAAACGGAACGCTGGCAAAGTTTTGCCACGCGTTCGATCGCACTGGGGGCGCCACGCCCCCTCCCGCCCCAAAACGCTAGGGCATATTTCTCGGCGAACGCGGTGCGTTCCAACACGGGAGTGCGCGGTGAAGACAGGGTAAGTTTAAACCGCTGTTAAAGCGGGTTTTTAAAAAAAAACTTTTTGCATATATCTACTGCTTGCTAGCAGTAGATATATGCAAAAAAAAACGGAGGCTTTAGAAACCCTTTAAGGCCCCATTCACACCGAGCGACATGAAAATCGCGCGATTGTATATGCAAAATCGCTCGAAATCCGCAGAAAAAAGGGTCATGTAGGAGCGACAAGCTACAGCGACGAGCTACAAGCGATATTGAGCGGCGAGATGTGAACAGCTCCATTGAAATGGATTGGAGAAGCTACATAGAGCGATATCGCGTGGAAATATGAGCGATATCGCTGCAAAAATTGCGCGATAAATCGCTCAGTGTGAATGGGGCCTAAGTGTACCTGTACCCTTGCATGTTTGGATCTCTCAGTATGGTATCTAATTGATTTGTGGACGAATCAATATTCTTCGCAGATACCACTGCTTGTGGCAGAGATTTCCAAAATGTAACCGCTCCAACTGAAAAGAACCCCCCTATGCCCTTTGTGTATAAATCTTTTCTCTACCAATTTTCGGTGGTGGCCTCTAGTTCTTGTTACGGAGTTTATAGTATAAAGTTTAGTGCCAATGTTGCCATCACCACAGAACATTTTGTACAACAAAATCATGTCCCCTCTTAATCTTCAGTGTATGTGAGCAGTCATTTGGGCACTTCACGATGGAGATGTACAGTGTACGTCTCTAGTCGTGAAGGGGTTAAAATTGTTAATAGAGCTTACTGTGTCTCTCAGTTCGAACCTAATCCACATGCTAAAGTGTCACTAACTACAGAATGTCCTAAATGTGGAGAACCTCGAGCCTCACTGTTTCACTGCCTGTGGTCCTGCCTTCGTATTCAAACATTCTGGTCTGCAGTTGTTGATCTTATCTATCAAGTCCAAGGGGTTAGGCTTTCTCTGGACCCAATGCTCTTATTATTCAGCAATTGTGTCTGCTTCCTATGGCAGGTCCAACAGGTAGTGGACATATATCTGTCTCTTAGTATTACGGTGCATTATGAGAGAGTGGCTCTCGAAATTTCCTCATACTATTGAGAGGCTATCTCAGGATCTTAGGGGTTTGATGTCACTAGAGAGACTGGATGTGGAAATGGATCTTTCCTCCGAGCGGTTGGTGTCAAACTTCCTTTGGAGATGGATGTCATTTATAAAGTGCTTCTCCATGCACTTAGAACAAAGAGATCTCATATAACCATTTAGATTAGGCATGTTATAATTTACTACTTACTATAATTACTGGATCAAATTGACAGGACTATTACACTGCAGCAGCAATAGCCGTGGTGTGAAGTAAAACATATGTAAAAAAAATAAATAAAGTGAAATAAATAAAAATTTAAAAAGAAAAGTGAAATAAATAAAAAAATAAAGTTAAATAAATAAAAAGTAAAAATGTAAACAAATTAAAACAAATAAAGTTTAATACAAAAATACAAAAAAGTTTAAAAATATAAAAAGTTAAATAAACTAAAATTAAAAATCCCCCAAAAAATGAAAGGCCCCAGCCCCTGCGAACACACGCATTTAAAAAAATAATTAAAAAATTGCTGACGGTATGGAGCCACGCACAGCCCCACCTAAAAAAAAAGCAGCCTCTGGGGAGAAGAACCCTGCGATAAAGGTATAGGGGCAGTGGCTCCCTCCTGGCTCCCTCCCTCCGCCACCTGCACCGCTACAGATGCGGCTCTGTAATCGGGCGGCCGCTCGCTCCTCGAGGGGGTCCTCAGGAGGCCCCAGCAGGCTGCCCTCTAACATTCCTGACAGCCAGCGGCGGTCTACAGTGGGCGAGAGTGCCTATATACCAGACATAGAGCGCAGTAAGGCCAGAACTATGTAGGGAGTCCAGTGGGAGGAGAGCACCATCCCCCCGCCTGTCACCCCTTTCATGGACTTGCTAGGAGTCCTCACATCACCCGACCATTCACACTACTGTTAAATGGATGGCAAAAGTGGCAGGCAGGGGTGGGGAGAAGGCGGGGGAAGAGGCAGAGCGGGAGGGGGCCAAGTAGCTGTACCATGGGCCTCTGGGTTGTACTTGCCCCCTGGGCTAAAAGTTGCCAGTCAGCCCCTGCTGTATTCCGCACCTACTGGGCGCTGAGAGCTTCCCCCCATTTTGACTGTGGTATCTTATGTGCCCCCCCTATATATTGTTCCTGGAGTCGCCACTGGTGGTGTGATATTAACATTGCTATTAATGATAATTGTAATGGTGTTGCTGATGCTGTGAACACTGGAAATAATATTGACAACCATTTCTGTTTGCGACCAGAGCCCTGGCCAAAGGTTACGTTAAAGTAGTTAAAGTGTGCCAGTAGACAGTTTTTTTTTTCTTTTTCCTTATTTCTTCTCTTGTTTATTTTCTATTCCTTCTCTTATTCCTTATCTGTTTATTCTCTATTCCTTAACTCTTATGATACAGAATTTTGATCATACCAACATCAGGGGTACTACTTTTCGCCTCACCGCTCATAACTGCGGACGTTGCCATTCCTACAATGTGACCATTGATATGCTTTTTAGTACATTCCATTTTTCTGGACATTCAAGGACAGTACAACTTCACCCATTTAATATATTTTATATGGCTCTTGATGTCCTGATCGCATTATCAAAATGACCTGTACGCTCATCTACTTTTATGTGATGTGATGATTTACGCATTGTTGTACGCTCAATGTTTTCTGTATCTGTCGGCTCTTTTTTTTTGTGTATAAGAGAAAACATTTTCTTCATTAAAATGTGGTTAAAAAAAAAGAAGATTTTCCTGATAAATCCATCTAAAGTGTCTAAAACCATGATCAGATGCACCAATCCTCCATGATCAAATGTGGAACTTTTTAAAATCTAAGGGAGTTATTCACAAAAGAGCCAAAGGATTAAGCCGAAACTTCAGTTCAGCCTGCGTGAAGCCTTCGGCTCAGCCGAAGACACAGCCAAAGTGGGGCGGGACCCCCAAGTTAAAATTAAAAAAAAATGTGTGGGGTTCCTCCCAAAAGTCATACCAGACCCTTTAGGTTTGGTAGGAATTTTAAGGGGGAACTTTTAAGGTGGAACATCAATGCCCAAAAATAGAAAATGAAATTGTGGAGTCCCCCCTAAAATTCTATACCAAACCCCTAATCTGGACATTGGCCTGGCAGGGCAGGGAAGGGGGGCAAACAAATACTCCCCTAACTTGCGCCGTACCAGGCCACACACATGCCCTCGGCATTGAGAGGGTGCTTTTCCAGGGGTAACCCCCTGGAAAAGCAACTTTTCCCCATGCCAACGTTGTGGGGGTCTGCGTGACTTCAGCTTGTATACCATACAATACACAGAGCAATTCATTTGATATATTTGTGATGCTAAGTGGCTGGTCACAGATCTGTTTAATTCTCATCCACAGACCATTTCCTATGGTGTTACCCATTGCTCTTTCTTCATGAGTCGGGTTTAGGTTGTACATATCTTTGGCATGCTGCAAATCACAAAACCATCTTAAAAATCTGTTTATACCATGGCGAGGAACTATTCCTATCTCTTTAGGAATTGCATCCAGTTCTTTTGTTTTAGACATCTCATTACAAGCCGTATTTCCCCTGTGTTATTGTTATAAATCATGGCAGTTACAGTAAGAGCAGCTGGTAATAAATTCTCAGATTTGATATGAGAATATTTTTATCTAATAGAGAGTTTGAGTATGCTTTTTCCTGCAGATTGCTGAATTTCAGATTTGATGCATATCTGCATTCTTATAATTTTTTATCTAATTCTACAATTATTTTAATTTTCATCTGCTAATTGATCACAAAGTTTGGATTTCTAAATCAAAGCCTCTCCAATAGTAACTTCATGCAATTTTAAATTGACATTATTGGTTTCTAATTGTTTTTGTCTTATTGCTTTTATCATGTGTATTTTGCAGGGATGCACTGATACCATTTTTTCAAGACTGAGTACTAGTACCGATACTTTTCCTCAAGTGCTCACCTATACCAATCACGATACCTTTTTTTTAGTGT